TCTGCCTATTACAGGTTGATCTGCTGGCAGATAGAAGTCAGCCACTTATAAAGGGAGGGAGCTGCCCGTTGTATAAATCATGTGCACACTTCATTTTGAAATATAGTTGTAAAATTGGGAGAGAATAGGTATGGATTTAAAGGTACTGCAACCTTTAAATCTGGAGTGTCCAGGTGAATTTAAAATGCTTATTGTTCCAGTTGGAGGCATACATGATCAATTTTCTTCAAAACTAGATTTGAGATGTCAAATTGCCTGCCTCTAGGGTATTGGTCTTAATAGAGTTTCATTAAAATCAATGACAGTTCTAAGACAGTCCTAGTTCCCTGAGTTACGCAGGACAATGGGGAGAGCAGAGCTGCTGGGGGGTGGGTGCGTGCGAGTCTCTGCACTATTGCCATTTATAGTGGAGTTAGGGATTAGGTGTTGGAAAGTCAGCCAGCATGGCCAAAAGGCAGTTAGAGAAGCCAAATTACCCATGAAAACTCATCTTTAAATCACTAAAACTTGAGTCTTTGAAGATCAAACCTAAGATGAATCCTTTTGTGTCTCTTGGCATTTTGGCCAAGACCTCACTCTGGGACAGTAAAAGCCTTAGTTGAGTTTGAACAGGCATGGGTAACTGAGCAAATAAAAGAATCTGCCTTCTTTCTCCCATGCTCTCGTCCAATGAGCCCATGTAGTTGAATTCTCATAAGTTAAATACAGGTGTTACTATGTAACTCCATTGTATTATCTTTTGTATTTCCTGAAGCAGACCTAAGTTTCCTATGTTACCATTTCAGCTGGGAATCCAACTGGTTGCAAGTAACAGAAATGGATTCTGGGTGATTTAAGCAGGAAAAGACTTTATTGGAAGAATAAACAGAAGGGGAAGCTGGAAACTGTGCAGAAAGGGGACTTCAGAACTAGAATCACACCACAAAGCCAGCTCATCGAGGCTCATGCTGCTGAGCCAGGATGCAACCTTCCACCAAATGCCACCAGAACCATGTCTTCCACATACCTGGCAGGCCATTGTTGCCCCAGAAACTAATCTCTGTATGATTAGCATCTGAATGGCCAAGCTTTAGTCCTATAACCATGTATTAATTACAAAAGGTTTTCCACCAAGGCCCAAGCAGTGAGAAATAAATTCTCTAAACGTATGGTAGCAGTGGATGGGGGAGTGGGGGCAGGTCGTGGGGAGTCTTATACTGAGCAGTAAAAAAAAAAAAAAAGGGAGGAGGGACAGATACCTACTACTATTACCTAACTGAAGGAAATGATCTGAGTACATGCTGTCCATCCACTCCTTCAGCCATTCCAAAAAGCAGTATTTATATTAAGTTAGAATGTTTCAGAGAGACTGATAAAGCTTTTTGTTTTCTTTTATCTAAAGAAAAAAAATTTAATCCACAGGGATTCCCTTTGTATCTAGGAAGCTCAGGGCTAATGTTCACTCACAGTGGCTATAATCACCTAGAATCCTGGTTTTGAAAATGTTCTCCAAAGAGCCCTAGAGCTTCATGCAGCACCCTGGGCAATGGGTAAGCAGAGGGTCTCTGCGCCTCCCCACCTGCTGGTGCTCAGGCAGTACTCTGAACTGTCTTTTACCCCTGGGTTCCACTGAAGATTCCCTGTGATTAAAGACCTCCGAAGCTAAGAAATTCTTGATCTTCTGCTTAGGTTGGTCCACCTGCTAGCCTCCTCCTCAAGGCTCACATTCTATGTTTCCACATCAATTTCATTTTGTACACATAATAGATGGCACCAGCAAGCACTTTTGTGGAAGCAGGTGGATATAAATCCTAGAAGAATCACTCCCCCTGGGGCATTGAGAGGATTCTCTGGTGTGGGTTCTGCTTAGATTCATGTAAACAAATAACCTGCTGCTAACTGAGTCACTCAGAAGTCCAGGTTAATTTCAAGGTCCCTTTAGGCCTCTCTGAGCATTCAAAATACATTTTTTGGCTGCCCAGGGAGTTGTTTTTCTTACTGACTTGCCAGTATTAAAGGCTCCCCATCCTGTATAGTATTTCTGTCAAATGAAATTTTTGTTGTTTTCAAATCTATCTCCTGAACCCAACAAAACCTATTACTAATATTCTGAGATTTCTACCATATATCAAAACCAGAACTTTCCCTTGGTCCTTAGCTGACCAGCTAGACCTGTTCTTTGCTGTTTTCTACAGATTTAGTTTGAGACTGTTTTTGGAGTTTTAGAAAATGGAAGGAAATGTTATCTTGGATTCTCTGCCCTTGTTGAAAGTTTATCTTCTTCATTTTATATAGTCTTGCAAAGAGATGGGGACTGAAATATCTATTACTGTTACAGTTTAACTGCATTGAGATCATGTTTTTGTATGAACATAGTTATAAAAGCCAAACAGATAACAAGGTGCCCATTGAACATTCAAAAAAAAATTGTAAAGTCTTTACATTTCACTGTAGAGATTTGTGATGTGGGTGATTACATTCTCTCCATTTCATCATCAGTAGCAAATTTTATTGGTTGTAGCAACAGGAGTTTCAGTGTGCTTTTATTTACATCACTTCATTGTTCTCATAAGACTGAGACATCTGGTGAAATGAAGAACAAAATTGAAGATAAGCGCAGACCAACTCAAACTGTGTAGGTAGAAATTTTAGAGCTGAGCATGGAATCCAGGCCTTCATCCCATTTCAGGAGGGAAACAGTAATAGGCTCAAGCCTAGCCACCTGGCTCTAGAGGAGCTATGTACATGGTTACCCTGGGAGCTATGGATGGTCGAGTTCAGGGCAAGGATGATCCCCAGGCCCACCAGTTAGCAGCTTTTGCAGGACATGGCAGCTCACACTTTGCTAGACTCTTTCCTTTACTGGCTGGAGGGTTTCAGGCATAGGGTAGAGTTAGCAAAGCTGAGATCAAACTTAGTTGAGGCAACAAAAAGGCAGAAAGTTCACAAATACATAAGTCTCAGTCAAACTGACATATTGTGGACAAGAGCAAGGTCACTGAATACAGAGTAACAGGAATGTGCCAAGGATCCAGGTCACAGACTGGACCAGAACTAATGTCAGGGGGGAGTGCCCAGGATTAATCCTTAAGCCCCTGGCAAGCTTTCTGGGCTATCTGTTGTTACTCCACTGACATCCATCTTTGTTTGCTATAGAGTTCCATCATACATGACTGCAGCAAGCTCACATTCCCCAGTAATCTCCAAACTCTGACTGCTTATTCTAGACTCCAAGCCTTTGTTCATTCCCTTCCTCTGCTTCCCTGTAGCCACCCATCTGTAAAATTATGTGAATGAATATGGGACTTATTTTCTCCATCTTTTGGAAGAGCCTGCCAAGGGTAAAAGTTTTTTAACTGATGCTAAAAACCCCACATTCCAATACCAGGTCATAGAAACTCCAGGTCATGCTGAAAGAATGCCCATCACCTCCCTCTTACCCACAGAGGAGTGGAGCTGAAGAGGGAGAACAGCTTTGGAGATAACAGTGTGCTCTGTTTGCAGCCCCATCAGGTGTATCACCTGGAGCTTGCAGTCCCTAGGTTGGGAAGTAGAACTAAGACTTGTATGAAAAACTGTAGCTAGATTGGCCATAGACAACAGAGAGCAGAGAGAGAGAAGGCCATGCCTTTACTGTGAATGGAGGGGAAGAGGGAAGGGAGAAAATCTGGGTTCTTCCCACAGACTAGATAGGTAGATATGGCTAGAACCAAATCTGAAATCAGACTCCACCCAAGATAGCAGCCTGGAGCAGTGAGGTGACCCAGCAGACGGGCAGAGGAGGGATTCCCAGAAGGGCAGGGTCTGAAGGGCCTAACAGGGACTTTGGATGTACTGCAAACATTGTGAATGAGTTGCCCCTGAAGAGGAGATTTGGAGAGAAGCCACTTTAAGCACAGGGAGCTCAGAATCAGCCAGGTAGGGCTGGACTCCTTTCCTAACCATGGTTTCTTAAACTGTGCATAATGAAATCAGATTAGTGGCTTGTGGTGGGCTTCAAAACATAACAGTAATTAGAATATGAAGGATAATATGAAATTTGATCAAGTATCATTTCCTGAAATTTTGCTTCAGTTTTGTAAAGAGGGGTTGGTATAAACATTTTTTTATTAGGGCTCATGGTCAAAAAAAATTTGAAAGTGTCTGTTTTAATTTGCTCTCCTGTTTGGTTCTGGAGGGAGTAGGCAGCTGTAATCTGGGAGACAGAAACAGGGCCTCTGGAACTAGTTTCTGCATAAACTCAGACAAGTTGTTTTACCTATCTGTGGCTTATCTGCAAAACAAGGATAACAATAGGGCCTCCCTCATAGGGTTGCTATGATGATTAAAAGGATTAAACATGTTGATCCATGTGAAGTGCTTTTAACAGCTCCTGGAAAATGGTTGTAGCTGATAAATGCTAATTATTGTTGTAAGGTGGTTGTTTCTTCCCCTGACGGAAGATAACAGTGTAACTTTAAGGACACAGCAACTCCTCCCTAGATCATATGCAACGAGTCCAGTTTTGGTCAGCTGAAGACAATGATTTCTGTGAGCAAATAGGCACTCCACAGTTGTGAAACCATTGTGTGTTAGCACTCTGCCATGTGCCAGGGGTACAAAGGAATAAGATAATGTCCATGACTTTGAGGAACATGCAGTCTCTCTGAGAAATTCCAATAAATTCCAATTTCTTTGACTTTAATGCCATTACCTATGTGGTGCCTGGTGTATTTTAGGTTCCTAGGAAACTGTTGAGGGTGTTGAGTGCATTTCTATGGAAGAATCATGAACTTTCTTTACCTCACCCAGATGCAGTAAATAAGTGAACATCATGTCCCTTCATTTTTTCGAGCACCTTCAAGATGTGTAGGGAAGAACAGACACACAGGAGACTTTTCGGCAAATGCCAAAGGTCTCTGAAAGTCTGCATTTGAGGAAGGATGAATTTGCTCTTATAGACAGCCTCCAGTGTTTATTTCATAGTGCTTATTGAAGAAAGTTCTCAGGAAAGGAATGAGAAAGGAAATGGGTAGTGCCAAATGACTGAGAAGAATTTTACAGATTTCTTCTCTCTTTGCTACTCAGAGCAGCTGACAGGCCAACAGGGAAGAAAGAGCAGAGGCAGCATAGCCTCCTGAATCATTCATGTGGGCTCCTCCCTCCATTCCAACATTCCCAACGCCTTCAGCTATGTAAGTGGTGCTGTCATGTCACAACCCAACAGGAAGGCCAGGCTGGGTGAATGGGGCCAGTCCTTCCCACTCCTTCCTGCCCTTTGGAGCATGGCAGACTTCCAAGCAGGTTGCATATGACATTAATGCCTTGACAGGGTGCTTTTGTTTTTAGCCTAGAGGGAGTAGAAACCAGGATTAAAAAAAAGAAAGAAAAAAGGACTAATTTGGGAGAATAAATCCCTTCCCCTGATTGCCTTAGAAGGAGCTGCACAAAGGTGAGGTCCAATGTCAAAATGTGTGCGTGTCTTTCCTAAAAGGGCCAAAAACCGTCTTTAAAAATGGCAACAGTAAAAGTTTACACTTAATTATTGTGCAGTTCACAAGTTTACAATACAGCAGGCATGACCACCTGCATGATCTCAGCTGACTTGGCCAGTGTCAGATGGAGATAAGATGAAAATGAAGATATCCTGGACTTGAAGACCAGCTGTCTTTCAATTAAGCTTTGCATATCTGAAAAGAAATTAATCTTCTATATCAAGCCACCTGCCTCAGAGTTTTCCTTACTCTACCTATTTTATAGCCCTTAAGGATCTTTTTTACCCCTTTTCCCCAAAGCTACCACCTTTGCTATATAAATTCTTTGACCCACTTGGAGGTAGTTGCAGAAGCTGAGGCCTTTTGCAGACCTCACCTGGCTCTGAATATATTGAAGTCAGCTTTATGGCTGTGCCACCTGGGCAGCCACACAGGCCTGATTCCTAGAAGGACCCCATGCTAAGTTTCAATGCTCTGCTGCAGCCATCTTAAAATTCTTAATTTACACTGGGCCCCACCATGTATATGTAGCTGCCTCTGATTGACTCAGTGTTCTGAGAAACCACATACAGATGGTTGGCCTGAGAATATTGTTTGATTTCTCCCAGTTTCCATGGTGTAGGTGGCATACCTGCTTAGGAGGGACAACAGGTGGACAGGGAATAACAGCAGTTTACAGCAGACTTTCACACGCATTATTTCCTTCAGTCTTCACAAGAAATGTCAGGAGACAAGCCTGTTTAAGGCCATCAGAAATCCACCTGCAGGAGATGAAATGGATTTGACAGGAAAACATCAAATCTCTTTAAAAGTGAAAATCAACAGAAAAACAGGACAGAGAATTTTTCCAGATGTTATACAACTGTGCTACAGAGGAAGTTACAAAATCAGTAAAGGAGTCGGCATGGAGTTTGGCCAAAGGGATTACAGAGAATAAAAACTCTAATCCTGGACCAAGAGAGAGACAGACATTGTTCTGTAGCAGCCAGAGCTGCATCCTTCTGATCCCTATCAGCCCAGGGATATTATCACAAAGTCTGGCTACAAACTCCTTGTCAAGGATTCTATCTTTGCCCAGTCATTTCCTGATTAGCAATTTGATTTGGTTTCTGTGTTCTTCTGTTCCAGGAACAGATCCATACTGAAAACACAGCTCAAGCCACCTTTATAAGCTTGCGGGTGTGAGATCTAGAATCTGAAACCCAGTACAAATACCACTTTTTGACAATCTTGCAGCTCACGTACTGTGGGTTTTTACTTGCTTCCACCCAGTTGGCTGACCTTCTGATCTCCTGCCTCTGCCTGTTCCGTTTGCTCAGCTCTGGTTCCAACCTGATGTCTGAAGTCCAGGCCACTGTTGCTTGCTGCGTGGCGCCAGCAGGCTGGATTCGAATGGAGGAATGCGATGCCGGTAGCGTTGTCCTCAACTCCCAGCCGTTCACGGCCCAAAGGACAATGCCCTCCTTAGTTCTCATCTCCATGGCTCAGACAGACCCATTTTCCTGCTCTCAGGAGGCCACTTTCAAATCCTGTACCTTAAGGGTTTTTCTACATGGATGCAAAGTAAAACTGACCTAGAGAAAGACTGGATTGCTGTCCTTCCTTTCCCAACATTCTCAGCACACGCGTATGGTAACCTGGGGCTTCGTAGCCTAACTCTAACATTGGAATTTTTCAAGACTTGGGAGAAGAGGGGCTTATTGAAGAAGCATGGATTCTCTTGCAAAATCAGGCAGAAATAGGATTTCTATTAAGAACTGTTCTGCTGGGGTGAAAATATGGTTGCTTTTTAGAGAGTGAAAAGCTGTGCGGAGATAAACAGATTTCATTAGGTATGATGCGCTGGGCCAGTGTGTTTATGACTGTATGGCTCTTTGACTGAAATTGTATCACCTCTGTGGAGAGCGAATTTTATTTTCTCCTGGTTTTAAAGCAAATTGCTGTTCAGGTTTCTGAAAGAACAATCTCCTGTTTCTTCATCTGTTGAGAAATCAAGAAAATCTAGGTAATGATCTGTTTACTTGAAACCACTCATTTGAGAGTATTTGCTTTGCAGAGAAGGCTTTGTTAGCAAGTGCTGAGTGGATGTGTCTTAGCTTTCAAATCAGGTGTACAGAGCAAGTGAAGGCTACTTTTCTCTCCCTTATATAATCTTGCTTCACAAATCCTTTCAAAATATAGGTTCATGGGAGGGAGACTAATAAGCTCTCACTGCTACTAAAATGATATGGGAGGGAGGGGGAGAAGTTCACATTTACAGTACCCCTAACGGCTGCTAGCCTTACTGCATAGGTCATCTCATTCCTTCCTCATGGCACCTACAGAGGTCTGGAACTCAGGTTTCCCATACATAGTGGAGAATGGGAGAAGTTCAGTAACTTGCCCAATATTCCATACAAGAAAAGGTCAGAACTGGAATTTCACCCCAGGAATCTCTAAACCCCAAATTCATGATATTTCTATTATGCTAGACCATCTTTATGTAAATAAATACAGTAATGGTGAAGCATTGTCCAACACAGATTAAAAGGAGCTTCATTCTTGGGGATAATTTGCAAATAGACAGAATGAGTTGTAATTATCAGAACCAAAGTGAAGGCATAGTTCGTTAAGCGGGCATTGAGCCAGTGGTTTTTGACATTTGTGGAGCTTTCCCACTTTTTAAGTCCCTTGGTGCCTTGAGAAGCAAGAACACAAGACAAGAATACAATGTAGGAAGAGAATGTAGGGTCCGCCAGGGACACTGCCTGCTTGCCATGTTTGCTTTGCCTCTACTAACTTCAAGGGGCCCGGGGTGGCCAGAGAGCTGATACCCTTCATCATGTGTACTCGAAATTGACTTGAGATTTCAAGTTCATGTGAAAATGCTTGTCATTTTACAGCCCACAGGAAAGTCAAGATAAGAGACTTACTGACCACTCTTAAAGACTTCCCTAAACTTTTCTCCCCAAAAAGCACATAGGTGCATTGATTTGCTTTTTCTTAACAGCCTCTGTTTCAATAGTTTTATTATTTTTTCCCTACTGAATTATTGCATTGCTTGCGTTCACTCATATTTTGTGGTTATCTGTACACGTGTCTATTTTTCCTCATCAATATTAAGCTCTTTGGAGGCAGATAATATTATTTTTGCTTTCTACAGTTCAGCTTGCATAATCCACATAGGTTTTTAATTTAAGAAACAAAATGGCAGTGTACATAAACTTTTATATCTTGCTTATTATTATATGTGACTATTATAGCATATTTTGTATAGTCTTTATAAACTCACTTTTAGAGTATTGTAAAGTAGTTTTAAATTATAAACAAAAATAAACATTTTTATGTGAATGCTTTTGTTCTGTTTATATTTTCCAGCAATTAATTGGTGAATTCAAATAGAACAAACATTGAAAAGACTTGACACATTTTACTAAAGTGGTTTCCAAGAGTTTTATTGGCTATGGTAGGCAGAATCCTAAAATATCCCCTCAAGATTTTTCACTCTAATCCCTAGGACTGCATCTATGATGAGCTATGGTGTCTGTGATTGTGTTATGTTATAGCCAAAGGGAGATTCCCCACATGGGCTTAATGTAATCACATGAGACTTTTAAAAGCAAAGAGTTTTCTCCAGCTGGGAACAAGAGGGAAAGTCATAAAGATTCAGAGTATGAGGAGGTTCCAGTGCATGGCTGTTGTCTTTGAAGGGTGTGGGGGTGGGAGGTTGCACAAGACCAGAGAATGGCCTCTAGGAGCTGAGAAGGACCCCAGGCCAACAGCCAGAAAAGAAAGTGAGACCTTAATCCCATAGCCCCAAGAAACTGAATTTTCCCAGCAATTGAATACCTTGGAGAACAATTTTTCAGAGTCCCCGAGTAAGAGCCAGCCTTGAGAGCTCAGGCAGAGAACCCGGTCAAACTCACCTGGACTTCTGACTTAAGAAATTGTGAAATAATACATGGATGTTATTTTAAATTGCTAACTTTGTGTTAGTTTGTTAGGTGGTAATAGAAAATGAATACACTGGCTTACTCTATACTAAGTAACATGAAATTGTCCATGTTACCACAGGTAGCAGTAGACAGAATTCTGGAATTGTGTGCAATACTTCAAACAGTCTTTGCTAAAACATTATTATTGATCAAATTTGTTTTTCTTTGCAGGTAGAAATGAGCAAAAACAAAATGTTTTTTGTAGCCTTTGATAGCACTGAAGTAGGGTAACTAATGAAAAAAAAAGGAAATCCTGGGTAAGAGATTTGATACTGTGAGAAAGAAAACAATCACAGAGGAAAAGGTTCTACCTCAAAAAGAGTTGTATGTTGAAGCTGGCTTGTTCCAGTTCATGAAAACCCATTGCTAATTTAGGAATCTTACAAGTTAACTGTTAGACACAGCCATTATTAAAAATGAAGTTATAAAACTTTCAATTGAAGAAATTACATTAAAAACACAGGTAACAAATACTTCTTAATTGTTTTTCATTTCTAAAATATTTTACATTTTACTATTAGCTATGCTCTTGAGGTTATTTCCATCTAATGCATCTGTATGGTAAAATACTCTATAATGATTAGCTTCTTTACGTTTCTTGCCAACTCCACATTAAATGACATCACATCTGAAGCCTGAAATCGGTGTTAAGAAAAACAGGCCCAACAAGGGGCCCCTTCTGCTAAGTCAAATCTCCAAACCTAACTGCAGTTTCAGCCTCTCCCAGGAGCAGAACTTGAAGCCAGTCAGTCGGGAACTTGCTGATCTGTAGTGAGGTCATCTGTATAAGACCCTTGCTCATCCTAAGGGAGGGTGACCTTACCTGAAACAATCCCTAATCGTTTGCTAGTAACTTTTTGCCTTACCCTTCTGTCTATGAAAAACCTGCCATTTTGTACAACTCTTCTCAGAGAATTCCTCTACTAGCTAGATGAGATGGTGCCCCACACATGTATCACTTAATAAAGCTATTTACATCTTCAAGCTGACTTGGCTGAATTTTGTTGTTTACCATTGGCCATGATGGAGAATTTACACCATGGAAACTGGCAAATGCCTTTTCTGAGTCAATGAGATACCAGGGAAGTTTTTCTGAGACTTGGATCAGAGGTAGGGCCTTTTTCCTATTGGATGTAGACTTAAGAATGTGAAGTCTGGCACTGCCTGCAGCCATCCTGCCGATGGGAGAGGAGGCCTCCAGTAAGAATGCAACCAACGTCGCAAAAGACAGAGAGGGGAGAGATGGACATCAACCAGGACTGGATGCCATGGTTTGAGTCCCATTTCCAGCACTATCTGATCCCCCACCTAATCCTAGATTTTTCTATTAAGTGAGTCCATAAATTCCTTTTATAGTCAAGCCAGTTTGGGTTGACTTTTCTATCATTTATAACTAAAAGCAGCCTAAAGGGGACAGCAGAATTTGTATCAGGTCCAGAATCATACTTCTAGCCACTAAAGAGGCTTTACTGCAAATAACTTCACCAGAGGGAGGGAAACCCTCCTGAACTCAAACTTGTTCTGCTTTGTGTTCTTACAAACATTTGCTTCACTTTGTGGTTTAACAAGCCTCATTTCCCTTGCAACTGATTTCAGTTCTTATCAGTGAACCCTTAATAGAGTGAGAGGCATTCTTATGAGGCTGTCTAATAGCTACCCTACCCTTTCCTCCTCTTGGTAATGGAAAATTTTTATTCTGGGTGGCAAAGCCCCAGAAGATGAGTCATGATTGTTCTAAACCCAGTAAAGTAATCTCCTCACCTTATACGAGATATTTGCCCTTAGGCCTTTTTTACAGCTAAGTTGGCCACAAGGTCTGGTTTTGGCTTTTACCCTTAGCTTGGATGACACACATATGCAAGGATTTTCATTCCTATAATCCCTCAACAGATATTTGCCTTTAGAACATGCCGTGTTGGTCACTAGGGCCACAGAGGTGAACACCACAGAGTTTATCCCTCTTATTTTTTCTTCACCCTCATGACTTTTTCCCACCCATTTCCTGCATATGTCTGAGAATTATGCAAGGTAGACATAGATGGTTTTAAAAGTGAAATCCTCCATTTTGATCTCATTTATTCATCATCAGATGTGTTTGCATGTGGGGATCAGTTAGATCCAAACTCTGCGCCAAGCATACATTGATAGAATTCTTATATTTCTCTTTGAAACACAACATATTTACACTTATCACATTTCAGTGCAAAATGCAGATTATCACTTATTTCACTGATGGCATCTAAACTTGGTATTTCGATTGGGTAGTCGATTTAGAAATTTTTTTTTTCGTAAGTGTTGAAGTAGACCTTAACTCTGAACAGATTTTGACAGGCCTATTCCAAGGTCAAATGTATGTATTAAACACCCAAAGACTTAATCTTCGGTTTGTCTCAATAGCAGTCTTTTCCCCCAGTTGATGCCACTCCTGAATCCGTATTCAGAGATTCTTAATTCTTGATTTTTTTTCTTTTATATGGTAGACTCTCCCATGAATACTTTTTAATGGGTCAATTTATTGTTCTACCTAGTTAATGCTCACAATTACCTAAAATTATTTCTTTAATCACTGACCTCAGATGATGGACCTGGATGGCAGGATCCCACAGGTGCTTCATCTGCATCCCCTTCTGGTGATTCATTATTATGGCAAATTCTCCAGCTAAAACTAATCTCCAAAGGAGTGAGATCCAGGGATACTGAGGAAGCAAGATTCATTCTTGGGTTGGAAGCAGAATAGTAGAGCAGAAAGAATATGGACTGGAGTCCTAGATTTCAGTCCTAGTTGGACCACTCCCACTCACAAACACCCTGACGGTACTTTGAGTCTTCACAGAGCCTCCATTTCCTCATTTGTAAAGAGGGATCCTGCCATTACTCTAGAGCATTAGTGTTGTTGGGATTAATTAATGAGAGGCATTTAATGAGAAAAATGCCAAAGACTGTGTCTGGCCAAGAGACAGCATTGAAAATGGTAGTTGTCTTGCTATTATTAATTTTGTTCTCCCTAAATAGACTGCAGGTTCCTCAAGTTCTGACTGATTCCATTTGCTGTCATTTCTATCTAGAACAGTGCCTGGCACATGGTAAATACTTAATAAACACTTGATGAATTAATATTTTGCTATGATTATCATAAAGGTCAATTCAACACCTTGTTAACTCCAGTGACTTCCTCAAGGAATACCCTCTACAGCCTCTTTTCATTTTCAGATCAAGTCCAAGCATGAACCCTCTTCCTGTGAAGCCACTCCCTACATGTTTTAATTTGCAGTTATCTTGTAATTAACATACACCATGTCTCCTCCCCATTTCCCACTGAACATTTAACTGAGGACCAAATAGACTTGCATAATACAGCATGTGGTCTCTATCATTGTGTAATTGTTTCATATATGTGAGTCCAGTCTTCTTAAATTCAATTCCAACAATATTTCTTGATTGTTTACCAAATGCTGGGCACTGTGTTAGGTTCTGTGCTAAGGAAATAGTAGTGGCCCTAAGGAATACACACTTTTTAGTGGAGACAGATATCTGATCAACAATTATATCACAATGTGAAGTGCAAAGCTGTCTGCACAGAGTATCTAGGTTGCAAAGAGGTAAGATAATGATTAACTTTCTCCAAGAAGGTCACGGAAGACCTCCCAGAAGAGGTAAAGGGAAGATGATTTAAAGGATGGGCAGAAATGTTCCAGTTAGTCAAAGAAGGGGAACAGCGTATGCCCAAGAACATGAGATATTAGCAGGATGTTATCCTGGAGAACTTAGAAGCAATTCAGTGCTGTGGGAGTATACATGGGTAAGCTAAGTAGTAGGAGAGGCTAGGATCTGGTGGGTGGGAGGACTGGAGACAGGCAGGTGGCTGTATCTTGCAAAGTTTGAATGTCATAATCACTGAAGGTGACAGGAAGCCTTGAATGTGATTATCCAATGGACCCTATAAATGACTGATAGCAGGGTAGAGGATAAATTGGAAGGAAAAAAGTTCAGCAATAATTCAGGAGGAAGTAGGAAAGGTCTGGATGACAAAGGCTAGGGCTTAATTGAGTCAGTGATGATAGGCCTGAAAGACACATTGAATCGATAACTGATATGACTAATTTAGTTATTTGGCAGTAGAAATTTAAAAGGAAGAAAAAATAGCAGTCTTTTATTGTTTTGTATTTCTTGGTAAAGCATAATAATAACGCATAAAAAGAGCTCAGAAATAGTACATTAATAAGCAAGTCCCCATAACATTATCTGGTCTTGATTTAATTTTATTTCCAATTTTAAAATTACTTTTGTGAACTGGAACCTTCCAAGCCTCTTGGTGTATTTCCAGTCTACAAGGATTCTCTTGATATTTCCAAGTAATTTGCAAACAGATAACCAAAAAACTGACTTGTTTTCCAACTACAGATTTATCTGTTTAGTCAGCTGTTAGCATAGTATTCAAAACTATGAGAACAGTGTGGCAGGACTAAGAACAAAAGAAGAAAGATGTCAAACTACCAACACTACTGCACAAGTCTTCCTTTGAGGCTCACATAGAGTAACAACAAGAGAATTTTTCTTAGGATTCAAGGTTGTCTCGACCACATTTAATCTTTCACTGTGCATCATAAACACAGATTTGTCTTGGAAAACGATTTCCAGGCTACACAAAGACATGTCAAACTCAGTCTATCAAAGCTTTCGAATTATCAGGGAAGATGAACAACACAATATAAACAGAATTACTTATTTTCACAGGCCATAGACTCTATAATTACACAGCAAGAGATGATAAATTCTTCCATTGTTATGGTGGCTCTGTTACGTGCATTTTTGTTTCTAAGAATTGAAAAGGAAACTATCAGAGCTTCACATAGATTTTGAAGGGATGATTTTAAATGACCAAAAATTTTGGGAATGTATCATGTGCGTGTTACATACACATGGTCTCTTGAGAATTTTTGTTAAAAGAGGGTCGGCAAACCACATCTGTTGGCCAGTCTGGCCCATCACCTGTTTTTCTACTGCTCTAAGAATGGTTTTACATTTTTAAGTGATTGAAGAAAAAAAATCAAAGAAGAATAGTATTTTATGATATGTGAAAATTATCTTAAATCCAAATGTCAGTGTCCATAAATAAAGTTTTCTGGAGCACAGCCCACACATCTGTGATGGATTGGCTGCATTTGTGCTACAGCGGCAGAATTGACAGCTGAGCAAAGCCTGAAGTATTTACTTTCTGGCTTTTTCCAGAGAAAGTTTGCCAGCCTTTGTTTTAAGGACTTTCCCCTAAAGAAACACCGAGGCCTTCAGTAAACTGAGGACTTTTTTTTTTTTACAGAGGTTTCCTGTGTTAGTGAACCATTATGTTAAAAGAAAATGCATGAATTTAGTAAAAGTAATAAAGTTGTCATATCATAAAATAAAATAATAGACACGACTTCACTGTACTTTGGATGCTTCTTTCCCACTTTATGTCAGTATAGCATAGTTATTAAGAACATGCACTTTAGGGGCATTCTTTTTCCTTCAGTCTTGATTAGCTTTTTGTGACCTTAGGCTAGTTGCCTGTTGAAAGTCAAAGGTTTCCTATAAAAACAGGGTACTCATGGTACCCACCTCATGAAGTTATGGTATTAAGTAGAGGGTGATTTTTTTAGAAAGCAATTACTTAGCTCAGTACCAATACAGAGCAGGTGAGCAATATTTTTTTTTTGATGATGATGATCACCATCTGAAAAGGTCACTTTCTGGTGGCCCATTACTAGTACTAGTGCCTCTAATGTCTGTGTTAGGCACAAGGAAATCAAGAGTGGAGCAAAAACCCTCTCTGTGTATCACTGTCTGCAGAAAAACTGTCCCAGGTGCACAAATCCAAGAGTGTACTTGACAGAAGAGTGGAAAAGGGAAACCAAGATGTCTGAGAAAAAACATCACAGAGATCAGAGTGTTGGAAGGCGGGTCAGCAGCTGGATTGAGTTTGTGAGCAGGATGTTGGGATTTTCTCTGTCTATTCCAACTCTTCCTATGGAATGTCCACAGTCCTGTGACATGCAGGCTGCTGATGAAAACGCTTCGATTTAGCAGCTAAAGTGCTTTTTTCAGAGTAGATGAAGGTTTTGTCATTTCATCCCATTTTATGTTAGCTTAAAACTGCCATTTTTCTTTTATTACTTGATGTCTTTGCTGGTGCTTCCAACCAGAAAAGTTCTCAGCAAATCATGAGGAGGTAATGTGTATACCTTGGAAACTTACTGGTTTCCCTCCTGGGCTTGCTACTGCCTATCTCCTGCCTGAATTTGCTCTGTCCCTGGAATCATGACTGTGGGTTACTGCAGAGGAACCAGAGGTCAGCAAACATGTGGTTCCTTGGCTGGCAGGCTACTTCCCTTTTCTTTCCTCATCTCTAAATGGGCTGCAAGTACCCAGAGCAGAGGTGACCTCTTCTGCTCACCAGGGCCAGTCTGGAGTCGATCAATAAATGGCAATGAGGAGGACAACCCTCTTTAGTTTTCCCTCACAGGCTGAATCTCTGCCTAAAGAGAAACGACAGGGGAGAAAAATCCCCTCAGACAAACAACTCTTACATCTCTTTATTCTCCTAAAATAGTTTATAGAAATATCAGGATCCAGAAGGCAGCAGATATCTCCACAGCACAGGTGAGAAACAGAATTCCTACAGGCCCATTTCCTTTTTCTAAAATCACATTAAAGTTTGCATAAATCTCATTTTTTTTGCTTGAGGTGTTTTGTGTCTTGACATACGGTTTTGAGGAAAAGCCCTCTAAATTAAATCCTTGTTCTTCAGTTATGGTTAATTAAGTTTAGCCACACAAAAGAAGAACAAAACACTCAGCATTCTTATGTACGCTACTTGGACTCGTGGGTAAGAAGACAGACACCCACGTATCAGCCAGGTGTGTGGAGATAAAATCCCAAAACTGTAAATGTCACATATATGCCTGTGAGCAGAATGGGGGTGGGGGTGGCTGCGGCATCTATTTATCGGTAAGAGTAGCTCTCATCATCGTATTCCAGCTGGTCTTCCTCCTCCTCATCCAGCAGCCCATACTTAAACTTCCTGTAGACAGTGCCGTCTTGGCCCATGTAGACAATGTCGTCGTCGTCATCCTCGTCATAGTCCCTGTCCCTGTACTCAATCACCTCGTCCTCTTCAAAGCTGGTGCTCTGCAGATGGCTGCTCTTAGAGGAGTAATAAGACTTCCTGGGGTCAGCCAGCTTCTCATAGCCAGTCTTTACCCTGGGCTGGACTCGGCCCCGCGATTTCCTCCAGACGGTCACGGCTGCCCCAAGCAGAAGCGCCAGCATAATGGAGGAGGTGATGAACAGAGCTGTCTTGGAATGCTCGGCTGCAGGCCCCACCTCATTTGCTCGAAGGACACACTCATCTGTTGGAAGATGACCCCAAGGGAAGAGGGGACAGGGAAAAGGGTGGGAGAGAAGAAGTGGGATGCAGAAGGTTAGTTCCTGTGGTTAAGAACTTTGCTTTATCTTTGAACTCTAAAACAGTAGAATTGCTGTATTTGATTTTCCTGGGGGGCACACCACTGTACAGAACTGCTGTGTGCACCCCAAGGGGGTTCCAGTCTGTGTCCGATGATGCCATCTAACCCTTCTAGGATGGTGAGTTTGAGATCCTAAGGGAGGCTCATCAGTCCCATACCTCCTGGGTCTGTCTCTAAGTGTCCAACCTTACCAAAAGATTTCTTTATTTCCCTCCTGAGAAAAGTATTCCATCTTGGGCCAGGCTGCAGTTATTGCTAAATGCTCTATTTTCTGTTTCAACTCCGATTGTCTAAGAGACTGTTTCTTCTCCCCAGCTACTCCTAAACCTTGTCCAAAAAGGTTTTTCCGTTATTCAAGGGCAGAGCAGGGTATTTATAAGGCCATTGACTCTTAACAGTTGTGAGGGGCCTTAGAAACTACTTAGGTCAACCTGCTTGACAGCTGAGGAAACTGAGGGCATGGAGAGGAAGTGAATTGTCACAGTGTCAGAGGCAAAAGCTTGTTTTTGGAGCAATCAGCTTTGAACCCAGGAGGGAGTATAGCTCAGGGGTAGAGCATTTGCCTGCAGATTTGAACCCAGGAATCCTAACCTCATGCTACAGTCTGGAGATGTCAGGTCAAAACACTCTGACAACTGTTTGGTATAGTTCTATGATGGTTCTATAGCCCTAATTTGGCAGGCAGTGAGGTACCTTCTTTAAATTCTAAGAACCAAATACAGTGATTAGGAATTTCTTCTATCATAATTAAGAGTTCTAGAGTTGAGAGCTCTGCCTCCTGTCCTTCATCAGGCTCCATTTTGACGCCATGACTGAGAAAATGGAGTAGCAGTGTTGCAGAAGGAAGGATTAAACTGTAACAACAGTGATGAGCTCATTTTTCTTAATTTTCACTCAGTTATACAGGTGCTATTATCTGCGTAAGTTACTTAATTTTTTTTGTATTCTTTAACCCACTGAATGGGAGAGTAAAAGAAAATATAAAAGAAAGGAAGAAACAGGCTTTGTTGGATGTGCAATTTGAATTCCACAAATATTTTTTCAACCACCTGGGTCTGCCCCTCAGATTCCTTTACAAGATTCTAGGTACATTCTATACACTAGCTTAACGGATATAATACTGCTGCCAATTGTTTTAGGAACAATTATTTTTGCTTATTGTACATTGGCCAGTTAGGTGTGATTCATAACCACTATGCATTTTTCTGTTTTTGCTAGTGATAAACAAGCTTTCTATTTCATATTTTCATCCTTATGAGATTTAGCCTATAAAGCAGAATTTCCTCTTCTAAAGTAATAGCGCTATCTTCATTGCTTTCATCATTAACAATATCAGCACAGAATTTTTCTCTGGAGGAAATATCAAAGTATTAGAGGGATGGGTAAGTAATCTGTGTGTAGTACTTGGAGAAAAATAGTACCTGAGGCAGGAGAATCAATAAAAGCCCTTTTGAATTGGTTTCAATTACTAGGGTGCCATATGCAATCACGTCTTACTGTTCAGTCTTAGGTCTAAAGAGTCAGGGTCAGCCTCTGTGATCTGGTTTCTTTGAAGGAGCAGATAATCAAGAATATTTAGACTTTTGCAGAGTTGCCTTGGGTGGATCTTCAAGTGCCACAGAAGGCCTTGGAAAGCTGACTAAATAATTCTTAGTTGGAACAGGCTCGCAGAAACTCTGCACCCAAAATGCATACTCTCCTGGTTTCATTTAAAGCCACTGATATGATGAGGGTTATTCTTAGTTGACACAGCATGGACATTAAGCAATCCAGCCCTGAAGGTGTATGTGGGGAGCCGGGGAAACCAGCTACTTGCTGGGGTGGGAAAGCTAAAAGAAGGAAAAAATTAACTTTTCAAAAGATGGTATTTAAAATTTAACTGAAATGTCTGAAAAAAAAAAAAAAGAAATGGCTAGTAGCTATAGGTCTGTGGACAGAGTCATATAATTGCGACATCTCTTTATCAGGCCATGAAACATCTCAACCCTAAGGAAATGATGCACTTCTGGACTACAGAATGTATTTCAAGGACATATTTTTTCTTTTCAGAAGGAATTAGTCCATGTGGGATCTTTCTAAGTTTGTGGCCAATGAGGATCAAGTACCTATGTGGAAAGGGTTGGGGGACCAGGAATTGGTAAAGAGGGTTTTGTTTCTTCCCAGCCTTCAGTAGAAGTTCATTTCTTGAATGCCTTAAATCTCTAATGGGAGCCCTAGATTTGGGCTGACTTCTATAGGATGATCCTTCAACAGAATCAAGGTAATGTTGGCATCAGATTCCTTGATAGTTGCTTCTTTTCCTTTTTTCCACAGAGAGAAGAATAAAAAAAGGAATAAAGTAATTTACAAAGATGGTTTATAAAAATTTATAAAAACTCTAGACCTACTTGAGCTCTAAACTTGGAGGCAGCAAAGCAGTGGAAAGAATGAGGGCTTTGCAGTCCAAAGGATCCGTATGCTAATTCCAGATGAGCCTCTTAACCTTTTACCTTTACCTTGATTGGTATGGCCTTGGGCATGCTAATCAAGCCTTTTGAGCCTCAGCTTCCTCATCTGTAAAGTAGAGTTAATAATATCTACTTATATGAGATGATGGACAGAAAAGTTCAAGTCCAGTAGGCACATAGCAGGTACTCAATAAAATGGCAGCTCTGTCAATTCTCCAGAATGGCCCATCCTCTCCTCCAGGCCCCTGACCCTGCCTCCATCAACTTCCTGAGGAAAACCCTTCCTCTGCAGGCTGCTTGCCCTCTCCCCTCACCTGTGGTGTCGTGGCAGTTGCAGCACTGCGTATGGGTGGGATCGGAGGCATTGCAGCAGGGCAGGCAGCGGCTGTCATCCGCGTGCAGCAGCAGGTTGGTGGGGCACACGGTGCAGTTATTCGTGCCAGGTCCCTTGCATTCTATGCAGCTCTCGTGGCATTTTTCACAGTTAAATTTCTCCCCCTGTTAAGAATAATCAGGAGATTCCTTTTGAGTGTGGGGGAATACACAAGGCACTGGCGTTCCCAGACGTAGTTCCATCTTGTCTCCATAAGGGAAGGAGACACATGAGGGATTGCAGAAAGATGGTTTGCTCTGGGTCCATTTTGATAGTTCAGGGTGAAATAACCACTTGTCTGCACTTGGATGGAACCATAGCTGGACCCCTCCCTCTGAGATCTGCTGGTGACAGTAGTGGGAGAACAGGCTTCTACAATAGCTCAGGTCACAGACTGACAGCTCACATGCTGTACCTGGTCAAGGATAAGTTTTTTCTGGCTTGTACTAAAGTGACCTTCACAGTTACAAAGTTTTTCAATTAAAACATTTCAAATTGGGATATTTCACATATAGATCAGTTCCTAGTTTCTCTTTGAAACCTAGAAGACTTGTCAACACTGGAGTCATCACTTCCACACAGCAATGTCAGAGACAAAGCCGAGTGACAATGGCCCTCTTTCTGTTTTCTCTTACTTGGATACACTGCCTAGCACTTGCTCGCATGTCACCAACATGTAGGTGAAATGTCAAATTCTACTTTTCGTTAAGCCTGCACTGGAGCATGTTCCTTGACCCAATACCCTTCACTCATTCACATCACCTGGTTGGCCTCTGTGGTTATTAGATTCTTGTGGCCCTGCCTCAGAATAATATAAGTAGTGAATGTTTAGCAGTTAAATTTTAATGGGAAGAGAGTCAAGAGATGAGGAAAAAGTGGCTTCTTCCCTCACGTTACTCCTTTGCTGGTGCTGGAAATGTGGATGAAAGAAGATATATTTCTACTTTTACTTCTGTACTTGGGAAGGATGGACACTGTCTTTGTTGAGCACCTTGACATATTTCAGGCACTGATAAGGTGCTTTCTCAGCTGTTATTATGTCACCAAATCCTGGTTACAATCCCAGTTTTGTTACTACTCATGTGATCTTTTGAAATTTTTTAATCTCTCTGATCCTCAGTTTCTCTGAAGTGTAATGAGGGCTCTTGTCAGAATTTCAAGAGAGCTCATATGTGAGTATTCTGAGTTGTGTTAATTTCACCATGGAGAGAGTTACTTAATTTCTGAGGTTTACAAACACAATCAAGAAGTTAGTGGACTCAGAAAATCCACTGTTCCAAGGCAAGCAAATTAAATGTATCTCTCTTAAATAACTGTGAAAGGGTGCAGGAAATGAAAGACCAACATCAGTTCTGACATTATTCATACTTTTCAGGTTAGGCAGCAGAGCGACAGGAGGGAAGATGTTACTTATTTCTGACATAATATTCCTGTGGAGATCTGAAACATCTAAGGTCATGAGCAATGAACGTAAATCCCAAAGTCCTCATTACTTAACTTCCCTGTTATTTATCTCAGGTCTTCTCAGTTCCTTTGATTGAAATTAAGGCTACTGGTGGGTATCACCATTATTCCATGATGCAATGGCAGAAAACTTTAAAATATTAAACCTGAATTATAGTGAGTATAGGAATTTTAGGACATTTTAATTTTGCTCTGAATGACATGCAGAAGCTAGCTGACATTCCTCTGTAGAAATGACAGACTGCACCCCATGCCCTGCCCTCAGTACCTCTCCCACTCTGTATTCTCCCACCATACAGTCTGAGATGCAGATTCCTTCCACTAGGTGGTAACTCCACACACAGGATAAGCAACTGAACACTCCTTTTCCTGAAAGAAAAAAAAATGGTTCTAAGTTATGAGACTGACCTTAGATTTCAACCTCTGTCTTGGACCCAAAACACTTAGGAGCAATAAATATGTCAAGTAAATTGAAGTAGAAGGGTGAGTTGATAGAAGATATGAAAAAAAAAATCTACAAGACACCAAGTGGAGGCCTGGAAATTATCCAATTAGTCCAATCAATGAAAAGACTCAGTTTGGAAATGGATTTGGAGATGACATCATTTATTACAATGAGGGGAAAGATTTTTGGAGAATGAGAAATCATGCAGATAGCTCATAAAACGTTTACTTGTCATTCTGCTTATAGTTTAACTAGTACAGAGGAAGAGTTTGATACAAGCTGATTTTGGAGGGCCCCAAAACTTAGTTGGGTAGTAAATCATGATTAGGCAGTTCCTAATTGAGAAACAACACACTTGGAATGTAAAAGTGCTAGGGATAAGATAATTTAACAGACCATATTGTCCAGTGGTTCTTAATTTTGGAGAGGGTGGTGGTGGCAGTGATAGAGTCTCTTGAAATTCTTTTGAAAGCTAAAAACTCTCTTTTCAGAAATTTGACATTCAATATGTTTATTATTACTTTTTAAATAAGTGAAAACTAAGGCCCAGATATGTGAAGTCACTCATTTAAGGCTACGTAGGTAATGGTGAGTTAAGATTCAAATTCAGGTTTGTTGACTCATAGTCCAGTGCTCTTTTGTCATACTGTCTGCCTTACCATGTGAACCACCAAGAAAAACAGAATTCACAGATTCTGTTTCCTGGGGAGGTAATATACCTCTCTTCCAATACATAGACCCCAAGAATGACTGAACCAAATATTTCCTTCTATCCAGATATCAAGGGAAAACTTCTGGAAAGAGCTTGGAGATAAGAGAACTGAGCTCTAGTGCATTCTGTTAGGAAGGCCCTGTCATTTCATAACAGGAGCAGGCAGATAGAAGGGGTATGGAATGTGCCTGGATTGTGAGCTGGAACTTGATACAGGTCTTCCCATTAGAAGAATATTGTAAAGAGTGAGCTTGAACTAGCACTGTAAGTCCTGTTCTTCACAATCACTATGGAGTTAAATTGACTTTTCATATCTGATCTGTGAGCTCAATCATCTATACTGTTTTTATGGAAAATGAATTCTGAGCATGGAACAACAGCTTAGAAAATAAACCTTTATTACCCAATTGCTTCTTAGATTGAGGCTGCCTGTAGTGATAGAAATTCAAAGCCATTCTATATTTATTTTACCTCCAGCTTCATACAGAATTTCCTACATGTTCTGGAACATAACTGTGGTCTCTGATGAAATAATCCATCTTCCCCTACTTCCTTCCTTCCTTCCTTCCATTTCTTGCCTTACATTTATCTAAAATACAGCTTAGATGTCTTACTCCAATTTTTAAAATACACAAGTGTGTGTTGTTTTGTTTTTAGGAAGAGAAACTAAGGGCAGGAAAAATTAAAAAAGAGCAAAAAAAGGCAGTAAAAAGATGAAGGTCACAAAATTTGTGACTTAAGGTTGGTGACATTTTCCAGAAGACTAGCAGCAATTTGGCTGAGGTCTAGATCCTGGGAAATCCTCAAATGCACTACCTGTCACCTTTGGGTGACAAATTGATGACACCCTTTATATATCTTACACTTATTTTATAGAAAAATCTGTATATTTAGGGTACCTGGAATCTTTTGCAAAAGGCAATTTCCAGAATGTTTCCTATTGTTTTCAAGTTTAGCACCCTACATTTTATCATTGCTTTTAAGGATCTGCAAGAGCTTTGGGACCTATAAAGCCAGCATTGGCATTTCCCTTTAAATTCAGAACAGCTCACCATCTGCTCTCCCAGGGACTGACCCCAATGGGTTGAATTCAGCAATGCCAAGTGATCCCTGGGGTCTGTCCATGGCTTTATTCCACACAAGGAGAGGCCACTCTGGAGAGCCAGGTGGTTTTGGCTACCAGCCTGGATTTGTGTCTCAAACAATTTTGTGGGGCAGATAAATATAGAGGTTTGTGTGAGAAGGCAAGGAATGAGTTAATTAGAGGAACTAATTGCATACAAGGGTACGTATTAGGCCTTAGTGTGCTATTTCCCCTTTACTCCCCACCCTGCTCAGTGCTTGTATCTTTTATTAACACCCCAATATTACTGGGAAGTCAAATGTGAATGAGAAACAGTCTGGTCGGTAAATTGCTTATTTAGGTTACCAATTTTTCCTGTAGCTTTTGTGCATTCTCATTTCTTAGTATGACACACAATATTCTAAGAAGGGATTTATCTTTTTTTCACCTACTTTATAGTCCAAGAGAAAACCTATGCTCAAATTCTGTAATCTATAGGTTGCAAAAGCAGAAGACAACACAAAGATTTGTTAACCAGCAAAGGATGTGTGTGGTATGGTGAAGAAAGGGTAGAAGAAATGAACATCAAAGATAGAAAGCTTCTACCAGGCATGTGGGGTTCACGTAAGATTCAGGAGGAGGTGGCACATTTAAATGCTCAAGATGACTTCAAGATTCACCCAAATATGCCCAGCCATCCCTTGAATACAATCGCAGGGAGACTGTGTTGATGAGGTTTTTTTTGTTTTTTTTTCAAGACGACTTTTATTTTAGAGCAGTTTTAGGCTTACAAAAACATTGGGAGGGAGGCACAGAGATTTCCCATGGACTGCTTGCCCCCACACATGCCCAGCCTCCCACATTATCAGCATCACTCATCACTCATCAGAATGTTTGCTTCTTTTTTTTTTAAACCAAGGATGAACCTACACTGATACATCATTATCCCAACATTCATAGTTTGCATTAGCGTTCTCTCTTGGTGGTGTACATTCTATGGGTTTGGACAAAAGTATAATGACATCTACCCCATCATTATAATATCAGATTTCACTGCCCTAAAATCCTGTGCTCTGCCTATTCATCTCTCCCTGCCTCCCACCCAACTGCTGACCTTCTACTGTCTCCATAGTTTTACCTTTTCCAGAATGTCATGTAGTTGGAATCATACAGTATGTAGCCTTTCCAGAATGACTTCTTTCACTTAGTAATATGCATTAAGATTCCTCCATATCTTTTCATGGCTTGACGGTTCATCTTTGTTTAGTACTGAATAGTATTCAGTCCTGGATGTATTGATGAACTTCTGAGACTGGGAATGCTCAAAACCATCATCCTTAATCCACCCAGGAAATCTCAGACTCAATTAAAGGAATTTACGGTTTTTCAAACTGTGCTTACAACATCACTAATAATTTCTCCAATCCCTGCAAAAATCTTATAAACTGGTATGGCTTGGTTTTGATTGGCTGATGTTAAGAGACATTAACTTACCTAATGGAGGTTGCCTGGTCTTGATTAGAAACCAACTGTTCCCCCACCACCCCCTGCCACTGCACTGCACTAGAACTCTGGGATTAGGGTTGTCAGATTAGCTAATTGAAATATAGTATTTAATCCAGCAATCCTAGCTGAAATAAAGGCCCCACACATCTAGCCATGATTGTATAAGAGAAACTTTCAATTTTTCAAAGAATCTTACAGAAAGCCAGTATTTACTATGATATGACCAATGACAATGCCAACTTTCCACACACACTCCCTCCGAACTCCACTACCAATTCAGTGTATTCTCTTGTTTGCTATTTTATTCTGATTACAAGTATTGAGTAGCAACTATAGTTGGTGCCTCTGGAATGAAAAAAAGAACACAAATGAATGATTACTTAATGCAGTTTGGGAGTCTAATTCTTTCAAAGATTGGAGTCAATTGCAGATGGGTGAAGAATGGGAACCACTGTATGGTAGAGTTCTCATGGAGTCGCCTCGAGGACTGCCTGGAAGCAATGATAGGGCTGGGGAAGTGGGGGCATCAGATGGGGCTTTAAGAGCCCTCCTCTATTCCAACTGGAGCAGCTCTGCTCTAATCAATTTACATCATAGGATTCATCCTAAGATTTCATCTGAAAAAGATCATCTACTGCTAAAATACCATCTGAAACCATTGTTCTAAACTGGAAATGTGAGGTATCAGAGCAGCCCAGCAGAAGCTTGCTGGGCGCATAAATTGGAAATGTGCTCTCCTATTCAGTAACTACTAGCCACATGTGGCTCCTGGGCACTTGAAATGTGGCTAGTCAGTCTAAATTAAATTGTGCTCTAAATGTAAAATAAACATTAGATTTCAAAGACTTAGTACAAAAAAAATAATGTTTAGTATCTCAATAATTTGTATATTGATTACATGTTCAGCTAATAGTATTTTGGATATGCTAGTTGATAAATACATTAACATTAATTTTACTTTTTTTTTATGTGACTACCAAAAAGCTTAAAATTATATGCACGGCTTGCTTTATATTTTGATTGCATAGTATCTCACCATGCTGTGAGATACAGAGAGAAAATTCTAGGACTGGTATGAATAGTCCATGAGCACTCCCAGGTTACTTTAGATTGTCCTTAGTTAAGTACTTTCTAGCTAAGAGGAATTTAATGTTTATGTTACTGAGAGTCACTCTAAAACAACACATTGTTACTGAGCACTCCACCCACTTTTTTTTCTTGGTATTAAGACATTTCTTTCAGTTAGAGCTGCAACCAGCCTAAGAAAGCGGGGCCGCGTGTTTCAGAGGACCGCCTAAGGCGGCTGCACAGAGTAGATAATCAAGACCAAGCCACGGCGCTGCTATGCCGCTCCGCAGTCCAACGCTCTGCAGGTTTCTCCGACAGCAGCTTCCACCCTCCCGGTTTTATTTATTCTTGTACCTTTTCAGCTCCTCTGCTTGTAGCTTGTCGAGCTTTTTCTGATTCTGATGGAATACACAGTCCCTCTGTTTTTGTTCCCTCTTTCCAAGCTTCTCCTCTTTCTTTCTCTTTCCAATTCTTCTAGTTGTTTCCTTCCCTCTACTCTCTGTCTTTTTCGCTTGGAGCTTTTGTTATTGGCTGTTACAGCTCCTGAAGTTTCTGCCTGACCAACTGTCGTTTCT